GGGGAGTATGTAAATAAAGGACAGGAGAACTTACTAAGTTGAACACCTGGTGATGCCAACCACTTGGTACAAATATCACTTCACCTGCATTCTGGATCACCTCAAAGCAATACTGCAGTTCAGAGAACCTTGGGAAAATTGTCACATCATGCATTTCAGGGGAAGTGACATCAAAAGCAAGGTTACCATGCCTACCTCTGAGAAAAACCTCTTGTCCAGGAGGGTAAAGAAGCCAGCGTTTTTTGCCGCAGATATTTGCTGACCAGCTAAAGGAGCGAAAAACGTCAGCATGCAAGGGAGTCCTACGGGGAAAACAAATAAATTTTAAATATAACATTGACAACAAAAAGCTTAGTTTGTATTTAACTTAAAGATGAATCATATACTCAAATTATGAGCAGAATTCTTCTGACGTGTATGATTGGGAATAATATCAAACCCTTCAATGCTACAAAATGCAAAAAAAAAAAATCATTTTTAACATTATTATAAAATCTGCTAAATGTTAAATATGAATATTCTTGTTATACATATTGATTTTTATCAAACAATAAATTAATGATTCAAAATTATTTATAAAATTCATAATACACTTAATGAATAATGATTGCATCACTCACCAAGAATTTTTAGGACCCATATACACAAAGCGATAATCATCTCCTGATTGGCTGTCTTGCTTAGAATCCCAAAACTCATTCAGCCAATCAGAAGTAAAGTAAACTGGTGTTCTATAGGCTCCATAATCTGGAAATTCTCTGAAAAAAAATATTCAATTTATATATTGTTAAATATAACAAAATACTGGTCACTTTTATAAATGACCACCTAGGTCCCACAGTCAAATTCCTAGAGTAAACACAGGATGGAGGTAAAGACGGTGATATTTGAAGGTTTAGGATGGAAAATACTGCTTTTAGACCACAATATTATGTAGTGTAATGTAATGTAGTTAGACTTATATAGCGTTTTACACCGAAGTCTCCAAGAGTTCAAGGTGTGGACTAGATTGTACAATAACTTGCTTCTTCCCTAAAGGGTCTCTTTGTGTCTGAGCTACCTGTAAACCGGCACTGGCTTCCTCTGGTCTGTCCACAACAGGGGCTGTAGGAACCAGTACACCCTACTCATCTCCAAAGAGTTCAAATTGTGTATACTGAGCCTACGGTTTATACTCTTTATCCGAGAAGACTTGTCCCACCCCTAGAACCATTGTGAGCATGCTGCTGGAAACAGCGCCAATAATGGATGTACTTTGCCACACCCCTGCCCTAACCGCTCGGTCAATCGACTCGCCTCACCAATATTAGGAAATGCAAACTCAATAACTTTGGTTGGATTGGAAATATAATTTTTTGTAGTCCAACGATTTGAAGTATCATCCAACAATCTCAATCCCGATACCTGGTTTAATGAGCTTTCTTTACACATCTAATTGTATTTTAATGCATGTGATGATATTGACACCCATGCACAACTGACTTCACATAAACAATAATTAATACAGTAATGAAACAGGGGCAGACTTAGGGGGCGGAATTAGGGGCCGGGCTTGAAGGGAAAAAAAAGAAAAAACTGGTCAAACAAAACACTTCAGAGGTAATTTTCGGTCGTCTAGGACACAAAAATTTCGGCCCCCCCCCATTGTGAGCATGCTGCTGGAAACAGCGCCAATAATGGATGTACTTTGCCACACCCCTGCCCTAACCGCTCGGTCAATCGACTCGCCTCACCAATATTAGGAAATGCAAACTCAATAACTTTGGTTGGATTGGAAATATAATTTTTTGTAGTCCAACGATTTGAAGTATCATCCAACAATCTCAATCCCGATACCTGGTTTAATGAGCTTTCTTTACACATCTAATTGTATTTTAATGCATGTGATGATATTGACACCCATGCACAACTGACTTCACATAAACAATAATTAATACAGTAATGAAACAGGGGCATACTTAGGGGGCAGACTTAGGGGGCGGACTTAGGGGCCGGGCTTGAAGGGAAAAAAAAGAAAAAATTGGTCAAACAAAACACTTCAGAGGTTATTTTCGGTCGTCTAGGACACAAAAATTTCGGCCCCCCCTCCCCAGGATAGTATTATCTTGATCAGCCCCCACTTTTTACCCCACTTTTGGCCCCCATTTTGGACATCTCTTGATCTGCCACTGTGAAACATGAAAAAATTAACAAGAATTTAGAGTTAATAGGTTAGTTTCTGGGAGAACTGTGCTTGCTCACATGAGTGCGGGAAAGAACCTACCGGTAGATCCTAGCAGCTTGCAGGAAATTTGAAGGCTTTGCATATAAATACTCATTCAGTTATTTATATCTATGTTAACCCTTGGCATTTTTTAAAAATATTATAATATTTATTTGTTAAGTAGAACACAACAGCATAATTAACCTTATAAGCAGACCATGAGTCATTAATGTTAAAATGGTCACGCCTGAAAAAATAAAAAAAAAGGTCGTCACGGACTTGCACACATCGGAGAATCATATAGAATTCCCCAAAGACCTTACGCAAGTTGATGTTGGTTTGCCTACCGCTCGCGTGATTAATGACGTAGCCGCATTAACTACACTCAATCGCTCGCTGTTGGTCCGTAACTCTTAATTCATCTACTGATGAACGAATAAACAGTAGTCGTACGCTGGAGTTTACAGTGCAATCAATCTCATACAGCACATGATGGTCATTGTTCGATGGCATTTCACGTTTGATGGACTGCTAAAAAAATAATTACACACGCTGGCATGAGACTCATTGTAGTACTAATAAGTTACGACTTAAAAGAAGAGGAATTTGGATTTTATTATCACACAACTTTATTCTATTATCTTGACCTTTAATAGTAAACATGACCTTTAAATGTAAACATGAGGGGGAAAGGCAATAAAAAGGAACTAACGTTCCATATTAACATTGATCGTACGAAAATTCAACTAGCCATAGTATTCTTTATTTTGTATAACTTTGTAACGCATAAACAAATTTTATGAATTTACTGTATATGACCCTCTAAAAGCGATTTTGAACTTCACAGTTCACAGTGAGACGGATTGGTGAAATGGAGAAAGCTATGAAAGGATTAAAAGTTTACTAGTGCTAAATAATATGGAAATACTACTAAAACATATTATATGAGTTAAGCACATGAAAGATAAAATTCAATATTAAATTTACTTATTTGTGTATTTAATTAATGTACTAGTTTCCTATTATTATTATTAAAATCTTGAATATTTCTTGTTCTATGTTTACACAACTATGTTTTTGTAAAAGAATGAAATGAATGGAAATATATATAAAAAAGTATTAAATATTAATTTGTGTTCTACAAAATGACAATAAATCAAACTTGTATCTTGTACCTTAACCTTCAATAGAAGTTTATAATAAAAAATGTTCTCATCAATAGACAAATGCATAAATACAAATATTCATATTTCTTTGCAAGGACCATTTAATTAGCTAGTATTGTAGTAAAATGTCTGTAAATCTGTGGAAAATGAATTGTTTTTAATAATTATGTGTTTTCATAAGCACATTCAAGAGGGGAGTGGGGGGCAGGATTTCATTATTTGATACGAAATTTCATACCTCAGCATCAACCTTCATATGGGTAATAACAACATAATAATATGTTACACTTATATAGCGCTTAATGCCAACAGGGCCTCTAAGCACTTCACATTATTACCCTCAGACATTGGATCAAGCACAAACAGAACACATACTGAGGTCCCTGGGGAGAATTCCATGATGTTGCAGCAGTTTGAGTCTACCAGGTACCTATTTGTACTCCTGGGTGGAGAGATACAACCCAAGGTAAAGTGCCTTGCCTAAGGACATAAAATGTACAGCGAGGGATTGAACCTCTGACCTCAAGTTTAAGAAGCAGAATCACAACCACTGCACCAATTGAAAATAATAATTTTAATTCTTATTCATGAGCAATTTCTTTTTTGCTGGTATTTTTTAGTTTTGATCACAAATAATATAACAGAAAGTCTAAGAGATGCACATTACAAGAAGTTGACTAAAGTTATGTTCGTTTTTATTGTGTGCATGGGTTTTTTTTGTAGTTTAGTGGCTTTCGCAGATGTGAAGTTTAGCTGTATTATGGGCTTTGGTACTTGGCTCAGTAGCTTTTCCATCGTTATGGTTTAAATCCATTAGAAAATTCCCTGAATTCATGACTGAAAAAACAAATTAACTTCATAATCTTCTCTGGATCTGAATAAGTTACATAGTTTTTAAACCTAATAAATTTACAGGTTAAAGTTGCATAGCCTGTGTTTAAAAATATGTACAGGAGTTTTCTACCACTTTATGGCCTTTCAACATGGATGCCAACAATAAGTTAAAAAGGCAAAATATCATATATCTGTTTTATATTTTAAATGTATTTAACATAATTCAAAGCAATGATATTTTCAAGTTTAACCAATATAATTCCAAGTTCTATATAGATCTACTTATTGCAAATGTTACAAAAATGAATTAAATAATCCATTCTTTGATTATTCATTCGTTTTTAACAATGCTAGTGTAAAACGCCTGACCAGTCGAGGGTCAGCTATTTTTAATAAAAAATATTTGTTTCACAAAAGAGAAACCAGTAATACTTATGATGTATGAAAAGGGATCTTTTCAAATTATGAATTTTCACCCAGTGGATACCATTTTTACTAAAAAAAATATGGGGTGAGTAAATGGATAGCAACAAATATCAGAATTAAGCCTAGTTGTCTGGTAATTGGAAAACATTTTTTTGGTCTTGTTAGGTGGTTGTACTGTTATTTGGTTTAAATATGATGACTTTTGTTAAAAATAATTAATTGTGCAACAATTTTTTAAGGGCAATTTACTCCTCTGAATTACAGTAATTTATTCACTTTAGACCAGACATTTTTTTTTCAATTTTAAATAACAAACTTGTGAATTTGTTATCCATCACTTACTTTTAATGGGCATTGACCCGCCATAGTTCCTTGGCTTGGTTTACCCTGGTTTGGTTTAACGGCAGTTAGTGTATTATGGCATTACGTCACTTAGCTTGCCAATTTGAGAAGAGATTCCAGAAAATAACCAAGTCGCTGATATAGTCGGGTCATTGCTAAAAATACACAAAGATCACCTATGCAACTCAAGACAACTTGCATGGAAGTTCCTAGAAGATGCAAACTTGAAAGGAGTGTAGTTATTTTGCCCAAATAAGTTCTTAAATCACTATAAATTTATTAGGAATATTATTATGGGACTTCTTATTCTTAGAAGTAGTTTTAAATCATAGTTTTAAAGCTTTATACATAGATTGAAATAATCTGTTTAAACTTCGATCCTAGCCAGCAATTGAATTATTCACTAACACCAGTAAATATCAAACTACTACCTGACGAAGGGTCAGATTTCCCCGACGAAAGCAAAGTGGGCGTGGTCAAGCTTCGATTAAAAGGCTTTGAAAGTGGTCCTGGGGACGAAGCCCCCGAAAATTCTGACAATTTAGGGGTTTCAAAGGCTTATTTAATCGATTTTAGAGTCTACTAATATGTAGAAAATACACATAATTTGTTTTCCTCCCCGACGAATTGTGCTTTTTCTCCCCGACGGGGGGCAGCTCTCCCCGACGGCCCCGGCCCCCTGCTGGCGCCACCCCTGGTACTAGCCTACATGTGTCTTGTACGGGACCACAAATGTTGAATGAGGTAAAATGCTAATTCTTGTACAGCTTTAATTGATTGTATATAAAATGTATATTTTTCTACAAACATGTCAATGGCAGATTGAAGTGGTTTCAATCTCTCGCAGTACATTTCACTTGTGTTTTTGAGCGAGGCACTTTATCTGCATCACTTCTCTCTACCTAGGACAGTGGTGGCACCAGGATTTTCTCAATGGGGGTCCTAAGTGGGCATGGTCGGGCGTCGCTCAAAGTCTCTCAAAAGTGCTTTAGGGGCGAAGCCCCCAAACAATACTCTAATTTAGGGGTTTCAAAGGCTTATTTAATCATATTTGGAGTCTAATAATATGTATAAAATACGCATACATTTTTTTCCTCCCCCAACAAATTGTCATTTTTCTCTTTGATTGGGGGGGGGGGCAGCAACATTTAAGCATGTGGACCCAATGACCAGGGAAAAGAAGCGCTTTATATCTACAAAGTTAAGGCGCTATATAAATAATATATATAATAATATATATAAATAATAATCAAAAATTTATGTGGGGGGGAGGGGACAGGCAGCCTTGAATCTGCAACTGCATGTGACCACTATTTGTGTACTGTTTCTTATGTTTGCAAAATTGTACTTTGGCACTCCAATGTACCATACTTATAATGTATTGTGTTTAGCTATAACTTATGCAGGGCCTTCGATATCAGTCAATTACAGGATCCCACGTTTCCCATAAATCGCGGGAGTCTCCCTGGATTTCACACAGCTTCCCGCAATTCCACAAGCGAGGAAAATCTGCCGATTTCATAATATTTGCATTTTTTACTACTATATTATCAATTGTCTCATGCATTAAAAACAATGCATTGCGCATCATTGCGTTGTTCTTCACAGAACTGCGTCAGCCAACGACCGTGCCTAGCTTAAAGGAAGCTAGCTTTAAAGGAAGCTTATTTAACCAGACCTCCCTGAAGTAACTTCTTCCAACTGGGACCCCTGTAAGTGGAAAGGGTCTACCATCTAAAATTATTATTAAAATAAAACAAATAATTTGTGCATGATAATATATGATCTTGTAAAAGAGAAATACCGTGTGAAATGCCAATCCTTAAGATACAGGCATCTTTCACTTTTGCTGTAATCATTTTTGATGTATGCTTTCCAGTAACTGAGGAAATCTCTCATTAGCATGTTCTCCTTAGGCTGCGAGCCATACTGTTCTCTCTTGCAGTCCGCAACTGGAACAACAGCGTCCCCTATGAAAAAATAAAGAACGCTTGATTTCTCAACATATGATAATTGTTAAAAATTTATATGAAAATGCTACATGTGAAAATACAATTGGTGGAATGCAGAGCTTTAACTGAGAAATAGCCAGGCAAAAAGAGAAAATAAAACAAAAAAAAAACTTTTGATTCCACCAGTGTATAAATACACCACCTGTTCTGATCTAGTCTCTTATTTTTAATTATTTTTCTCATTCTGGACAGCGCCACCAACGAGAAAGTTAATTTAGAGACGGAATAATCCGATAAAAAGAAATTAAGTATGGGACGCCAATTAAATTAGGTATGGCGCGCACTAAGTGCAATCAAGAGTGAGTAACCCAAAATTAGGGCCTGGAACCCAGGCTAGTTGTGATCTAGTGAAATACCTACACCGGGCCTACAGTAGTCTGATTGGGCTATTCAAGCACGCAGAAAAGTAAAAGTACTTAATTTTTCCAGTGGACTTTTCCCATTATTTATTAATGACCTCCAATATTCTGTTAAAAATTTCATAACAGATACAGTACGTATGCAGCTGATAATATTCTGTACTTACAGTAGTGGATAAATCAATCTTTTGTACTGAACAAAAACCTTATAAAAATGTTATAGAGTTTAACTATCTCTGTTCTAAAATACACAAAAAATTATGTTTATTGGAACACATCAATGTTTAAAAATAACTATGAGAATGAGACAGATATCTTTCACAAATTGAAACAGGTTGTCTAACACAAGGGGTAACTTTAATGATACACTCAGATGCCAGCCTCATATAATATAAAGGAACTTTGATTAAATAGAAAGAACCAATGACCATCAAATATTAAGTTCATAGGTTGACTAAGTATAAAAATACATTCTATTGATCGCTAAATAATAAATCAGGAATATAATTATAAATTGATTTATGAGGAGAGAATGTGATCTCAAATGAGTGATTTGATAAAGTATTGTTAGAGTAGAAAAATAAATGAGTTTTATCACCATTCAGACCAATACGCTACAATAGCAATGCACTGTATAAAAGTATAATATGACTTGACAATGTTTAGACATCCACCCACTCAAATCTTTTCTATGCTTTCGACAAAACCTAGAGGAGGTGGATGTTAAAGTGTCAGGATGAGGCCTTCACATTATACTTTGCTCAGCCAATCAGAAGTGGGAAGGTCAGGGTGTTTACATTTTTAAACAAGATGGATGTACATTAAGCATGGACTTGATATAAATTATGATGTCATTTACTAGTGATGAATGCAACAGTACTTGAAATTGAATCAGCTTTGCCGGGACACAGAGAACGTAAATCAGTTTTCCAGAAGCATAATTTTTAGAACAGGCAATGGAGTAATAGTGACACTGTCTAGCCAGATGCTACTAACACACTCATAGAAAAATTAAGATTAAAAAAAGTAAAATTATAGAAGCAGACCTGTGGTTATAGTGGTTGAGGTACCCATTTTCTAATATCACAGGTCTGGGTATAAATCCTATAAATAATTATGAGACTTACAGTTTAGGGCAGACAAAAATAAATTTCTCATTAAAAAAGGAACGACGCAAGTTATCGACTTTCAATAAATAACAGACCGAAAAAAAATTCAGTTTTCAGTGATTTACAGATGTTTACAGTTTAACTACAATTTACAAAAATCTTGAAATTTGCTATCAGAAATTTAAAGGTATAAATAGATACAAAGACTATAGCACATTTTTTATTTTTTAAACATGGTTAATTGCCAAAGACAATTTTCAGATTTTACATGTATATGTCGCAAGCTTCATTTAATAATCTTCAACTAGCTCTATCCAAATTTCCTTAAAATGGATGAAGAACAATCCCTCGGTCGATATCTCTTGGAACCCTGTTTATACCTACAGTAGCTCAATTCTCACTGACTGGAGGGGATTATTGAAACCGCTTTAGATCAGAGAAACTTGCTTTTGTTTTAATTTTGTTTTCAATTTTTTGTCAATTTTATTCTTTGTCGTACTGTATTCTTATACTTTTTTAAAAGCATAATAATGGATTCTGTAAATATCTTGGAAATTATTCTAAGCCCATAGCCTTAGTTCTCTTTCCAACATAATCCCCATCTTAATCTCCACCAGAATCTCAAAATTTACATACAGATTTTATCAGATATTCCACCAATCAGAACCTTGAGATCATTCGACAATATTGATATTGATGGTAGTAATTTTAGTATGCCATTCACAATGAAATCTGATGCACTGATGGTAGCCTCTGAAGGAATCATAATTTATTAAAAAGCATTAAATAAAATGTTTGCAATTATTTGCAAACATAAAAAAAAATAAATAAAATATATGACTGACATTGGTGGCAGTATAATTCAATATTATTATTAATATAAACTAAAGACTAAATACTTGTATTTTGTTTAATACCTTTTTCTAACAATTTATCCAGTATAAATCTACATACATTTCATGTTTCCAGTTACTAAAAATAATTTCTTGTTGCGCTGTGGTTCTAAATGATAAATTACAGTTGAAAGATGTTGGTAAATGTTGTGGGCTGTAAATTTTTGAGTTATGTGATGACGTCCATAAATGTATGGTATGTAATATACAGAAATAAACAGTCTGGATTCATATCGAACCAGTAACTCAAACCTAACATGAAAAATTATAATTTACAAATTGATTTTTACATTCTGTTTTTTTTTTACCAATCATTCAGAGAAAATCACATAATACAGGATTGAACTCTGTGCAAGTACTATATTATAATATTGCCTTAATATTGCAGAAGTTATATATTAATAATACATCACCGTTTATAATAATGTATATACAATTAATAATTTTTTTATAATACATACTGTACATAACTACACAACTTACATAATATTATTTTAGAAGAATTACATAAAAAAAAAGTTATGGTATATAACTTAAAATATACTTATATAACTTAAAATATACTTCATTACATTTAAAACATTAAAATTGTTAACCTGTTAACTAAGCTTAATTAATACAACTTTATATTTTTATATTAATTACTTTATGAAAAAAATACATATATATTATGTACTTTTATGATTTTTAACTTAACTTATAAAATAAATATGAACCTTAAAATGTGGAGGTTTCAGACATGCATTAAGCAAATTTATATTTTGAACAGTGCACGCCGTATCCAAGGTAAATCAAAATAAACCTATGTTGTGTGTATGTTTAACATCTATTGACCTTGATTGGGCATGCACAGTTCAAACTATTAATTGGCTTATTACACTGGGCCAATAATGACCTTTAACTTGAAAGGCAAACAATCCAAGCTTACAATCTAATTCAATGGTCAACACAGTAACTTTGAGATACGTACCGAAATGCTGAGACAAGTACTGATAATTAGGTTTGCCGTCACTATCAACCCATTCTTTTATACTCCGCCATCCGTCGGTAATACCACTGAACAAGCAAGGCCTATTGACTGCCATGAACTCCTCAAAGAACACATCATATAGTATGTCATTAAGAACTGGCACATCGTCTGCTACTTGTGAGCGTGCCTGGTTAAGTTCACTGTCTTCGTGGTAGATGTTCATCATTTAACAATGCGTTTAGTCGGGTTTAGTGGCATTGTATGAATATATTTGATTGTATACAAAGGCGGACTTTTTGCATCAGTTGGGCTTGATGTGGGCATCAGGTGGCCGACAGAAGATGGTTAATGACCGATAAGCCTAGTAATCTGAGGAAAAAATATGATAAAACACATGTTTAGAATTATAAAATTATTGTTTACAAATGATAAATTTTGATAGAGAGGATGGGCTACTTTATCTTGGATAAGTTCGTACTTGGATTTCAATACACATTAGGTTTTACCAAGACTGCGATCATAATGCGCATTCCAAAGTAGACGAGTTCAATTCTCTTATACTATACAACTGTGCAGGTTTGGTAATACACACCCAACAAGTCTTCTGAATTGGTGAGAGACTCCAGCTTTTTTTAAACCCATTTCAAGTCCTCTCACTAGCCACATACATTCTCCCACTTTCACAAGTCTCATCGCAAAAAAAATTAATCTTATAAATACTAGGCCACGCCGACATGTACGTACTATTATTAGCTATTCTGCTCATTGAGTGGCCACCGAAGAGCATCTAGGCAAACAAAAATTTTCCGCGCCCTAGGCGTGCACTGGACCCAGTAGGAGGCCCTTCACTTGCTTTGCATAAGCCTCTATAAAACTCAGTTTCACTGTATTCATTATGTTATACAATGACAATAAATATTGAATGAATAAATGAATGAATTGAATGAATGAATGAATGAATGAATGAATGAATGAATGAATGAATGAATGAATGAATGAATGAATGAATGAATGAATGAATGAATGAATGAATGAATGAATAAATGATTCTCTCAAGCCAGTACTTCTCTCAAACTTGGCATGTATGGGTAATGCCACCAAGAAGAATGATGCACATAATGTTCGCACATGAATATTTTTGGTCAAAGATTTACTGTACCAAGTTAAGTAAATTCAACCAAAAATTGTCCAATCTAAACTGGGCTTCATTTTGTTGGTGGGGCAATACTCATCTCATAAATCAAGTTTTATCTCACATTCATTCTTTGATGCTGATTTGCAAAAAAATGAAAGGTCATTAAAACACATACGATCCTAGGATGGGGGATGCATCAAATTAGTTAACCACAAAGTACAATGAAAATAAAAATGACCATAAATTTTTCATTGTTAAAAAAAACAATTTTCACAAAACTCCTACAGTAAATGTGTAGACATTAGGACAGCGCCATAGGCATGCTAATTTAAAATGCAAATAGTACAATTTAATTTGCTGACTTGCTGATTTGCTGACCTCACCTCTCCTTCGGAGAGGTGAGTGTATTACAATAGCCTGCGTCTGTCTATCTGTGTGTCCTTCCGGGCGCTTAACTCAAAAACTTCTGGGCAGATTTACTTCAGATTTTCACACCTTGACAATGTTACATGCATCCCAGTCCACCTCTAATTTGGTGTTGATTGAAGTACAGTAAGTTGCAGATTTTAGAATGTTATTTACATATTTTCCAGCCACAACAGCCGACAGAGCCAGCTCAAGCGATCGTTCAAATCAAGTCAAAGCGAATCGATTATATACATAGATACGGTGCAATAGGGCGAGGATTTACAATCTCAGATTATCTTGTTTTCATCCTATTCCCATTGTCTGCACCAATCAGAATAGGCTAACATACCTTTAGTAAATATTGAGGTGCCATACTCCTAGCCACAGCCAAAATAATAAACATATATATATATATATACTGTATGTATGTATATATACATATAGTATATACATATATATATATTTATATATATATATATATATATAACTGAGGCATATTACAACTGTTTTGTCTTATATATATATATATATAAATCATTATCGTTAATAGGTAAAATCTACATCATATATATGCCATATATATTTAAATATGCCTAGAAATCAGTATGTTCATATCATTATTTAGTTTTTATATTAGGCCTTTATTATTATTATTTTTATAAAAGTTGAACAGAGAACAATTTGGAGTTTGGGCGGGACAGCGGGACACGACTCTGAAAAGCTTGATAATCCTGCCGAAAGTGGGACAGTTGGAATCTATGTGTTTATAATAAAAATGAATTTCTAAGGGCCTGTTCGAGCGAAAAAATATCCGTGCGATTTTCCAGTTAATTCACCGGTACACACTTTCTAAAACCGCTCGGACACGCGCCTAATTACCTTACCATCTGGATTATCCGCGACAATTTTAACCACCAAATTGCTGGGTAGAATTCCGTGTATGAGATGGCCTTGGAGCCGGAGACGATGATAAATCAATCTTAATTGCTTTGCCAAATGGTTTGTCCACAGCAAGTACCCGCTGTCGTCGCGCTCTTCTTCGCCTCCTCATGTTCACGGCGAAATCAAAGTTGGATTGGACAGTAAATCCATCCACATAACATTGCATCATTGTCGCCATAATGGTGGCCAGTAGCATAGCTACACGTTCAATTTGTAAAATTACCATTACAGTACAGTATTCAGAGAATTAAACTTCAATACAAATCGTTTAAACAAGCAGAAGTAAACAAAGAATAGGTTGATGGGATTGGTGTTACTGAATGACCTTACAAAATTACTTCCGAAATAGTTTCGTTACACGGTATTCGACATTCGAGCTAAAATTTGCTCGAACGGTGGACCACCCGCTGTGTGCTCGGCGCGATTAACCGGTGAATTCACCGGAATACGGTTTGCGTTTTTCACTCGAACGGGCCCTAAGTCGAACACCTTTCAAAAGTAGTTAAAAATATATTACACCCACAGCCTCATTTTAGGCCGACTCGCTTTGTCTAGCTAGGGAAGGCGAATGACGTCTTCTTTGAATCTTATAACGCCGTCCAGAATTGGTTCGCCGCCGAAACAGTCCCGGCTAGCTATTCCGGGCAGGCCTACTACAACTTTAGAAGTAGTAGGCCTAGTACTGGCCTTACCTACCCTAGCCCTACACCAGCAAAAATAGGACCGCCTATCGATATAAAACTATATTTTCTGATTTTAAAGGGCAGCCATACAGTTTTTGCTAAATGTGGTATATCAATAAATTCAAAAACAATCACTGGTTATTAGTAAATAAACTCACTTTTTCACATTTTCAAAGAATGGTATTTTTCTCCCATGTGTGTGATGTTTATGTTTTTATATATACTGCCCCCTTTTGACTACATTAATACCTTTTGCTGGTAGTCTCGCCAATCCAGTTAATAAAAAAATGACAATAATTGGCAGGGTTGCCATTTGGCCTTTTTGACGGCCAGATTTTATAAAAATTTACCTGGCCGTAACGTTTGATGTCACGGCCAAACTATATTTGGACGAATTTTTGAAAAGTTTACATTTCTTTTTTTTGGACTAATATGACGTAGACTTGTTTTGGATATGTTGTTTTTGTTAGCTTAAACTATATTTGTTTCTAATCATGTACCTTTGTTTGTACTTGCACTAAACACTTAATCTATGTTCCCCCTTTAGCCGATTTGACGTAAGAGAGTTTATTTAACAGATAACAGTTACATTATAATTATTTAAATTGTTCGGATGAAATATGTATTTTTTATGAAGTTTATCCTCGTTTAAGCTTTATGAAGACAGTTCAATGCAAGTTTGTACCATATATTGTGTGGTTTGTATTTGTTCCATTGGAGGTTATATTTCTTTTGAATATAAATAAAATACTGTACTTTAATTAATTTATTATTGCCCACTTGAATTGTATAGCCCTGGGTGCTGCCGTGATGTAGAGCGCCATGTAGGCCTATATAAATGCTCGATGTGGCACCTCAGAATTTCAAGCAAGAGTTGCAGAGACATCTTCGAAATTACTCTGGAGTTAGGTTGCATATTATGAGACTGAAGAAGATAATTCTGCTAGCAACATTGATTATTGCTTTAAGTACTGAGACAATAACATTCAGAGGCGAATTTAGAAAATTTAGATAAAAAGTATTTTATTAAAGTTTTCATAGGTTTGTTTTAACGCCAGTTTGTGTTACCTAACTATGTAACTTAATTCATTCTAATTAAAGAGAGCCACGGATTTGCCAATAACAGGCCCTTAAAATTTGCTATAGATCGACTACAATGTACCTTAATATTTAATACATTTAAATCCAATTTAGATCAATCTTAATAATGCGATTTTAAATAGCAGAGGCGGATTTAGTGGGTGGGGGTGGTAAAAGAAAAAAAATAAAAAAGAAAAAAAATTTGATCGCCCAAACGCATCAGGTTACTTTCAGGCGTCTAGAAAAAAATTCCCCTAAGATGGTGTTATCTCGATCGGAGCCACTTTTTTCGGCCCCGGCTCCTCCCCCTTTCGGACACCTTTGGATTCGCCCCTGAATTGGCCTAACATTGTTCTGTGTATATCATTTGAATTTCTTCAATTTCAAACGAATGACCGCTGATTTTCGTGTAATTTTGTAGTATTTCAAATGAATACGTACCCACTGTTGTCTTCTATCGGATTAAAATCTGGCCAAATTTTGAGGTATATTTGGTATACCAAAACGGACTTCGGTCATGTTCCAACTCCAGAGCTATAATCAGTGGCGGATCCAGTAAACGGAAAGCTGAATATTCATAGATTCTTCTCATATAAAATATATGAATTCC